GTGATAAAGTTTCCAAGTGTCGTCGAAGAAAATGACCACTTCATATTTGTCTTAAAATCGATCAAAGAACTCGGGAACGTCGTACCAATTTGAGGTAGGAATTCATCAACATTAATTGTTTCAACCAATCTCATCAGATAACGTAATTCACCAAATTGTCTTTCTTCGGGTGTATTTTTATCCCAAAGTTCAAGGTGCTTTAACTTTTGACATGTATTTAGAAATTTATTAAGTACAAATATTTCCTCAGGATTAATAGAAGCAGATAAATAAGTTATGTTGGGATTGTTTTCGGCGAAACATTTTAAAGTTTCTGTAAACATTCCATAGGGTGCTTGTCTGATCCTTATCTTTCTCAAAGACTTACCAGCCTGAACAAAAAATGTCTTGGCCAAGAGATCTGGAATTTCTGAAAATATAAGTTCAATAGCACTCAATCGTGCAAACGATGTTGGATCCATTAAGTCATAATTAGAGGATCCAAAGTTCCAACATCTTGTGATAATTAATTCTTGGAGGTTTTCGCATTTAGCCAATTGCCGAAAGGGGAAAAGGTTATGAAAATCGATCGATCCAAGATAGATATAAGATAACGTCGACGTTTGAGATTCTAAAGAGATCAAAACATTTGTCATGTCCAATGCTGATGAAAGATCTTGTGAACAACAGAAACAACTGGTCTGGTTATCCAGGGTAATTCGTTCGAGTTTTTTTTGTGATCTTAATAAATTCGATAAATCATTCAATGTTGTTGAAAAGATCGGATAACCGTCAACTAGAGAAACTCTCAAATTCTTGATTCTTGTGGAAACTTTCGCAATTGTGGAATATAAATTATTGATCGGTTCTCCGTAACATAGAAAGTTTTCTAAATTACAAAGATTAAATTGCGCACTCGGAAGAATAAATATGTTCTCATTTATGGCGGAATCTGATCCAGGTCCGAACTCAATATACTCGATGTTTTGAGCAGAACTGACAAAATGCCTATAGAGAGATTGAAATATTGGAACATCCGTAGATAATTCTGACTTACTTTCTAACCAAAAACAGACAGCGTCATGAATCTTTGTAATATTTATTCTTCGTAGATATTTGACATAATTAAATATCAGTCCTTTTGAATATAAGTTGCGAGGCCGTATGTTAAGAGCGTGAAATTCCTCTGGTGAAAACCCAGAAATATAAACGTCCACAAGTAACGTGGCATTATCTGCTCGAGGGTGATTAAAGAAGGGATCTTTCCATAATAATGGAATAGCCGTGTGACACCAAATTCGATTCACCAATATACAAGGATACAGTGGATTTTGTTTTGACCAAGTGCCAACGTTACTTATTAGTGTATACTCGAAGATTTC